ATATTCCAATGTGTATATGAACCACATTTTCTTTATTCAATTCATTAGTTGATGGAAACTTAGGTTTCTCCATTTCTTAACTATTGTGAACAGTGCTTCAACCAACATGAGAGCGCAGATCTCTTCAATATACTGATTTTTATTTCCTTTGGATATAAATCCATATATATGTGCTGGATCATATTGTAGTTCTATTTTTAATTTTTGGAGGGAGGAATCATCATACAATTTTCCATAATGGTTGGACCAATTTACATTCCTACCAATAATGTGTAAGAGTTCCCTTTCCCCCACATTCTTTCCAACACTCGCCTTTATTCTTCTTTTTTTTATTTTTTTTATTGTTGGTTGTTCAAAACGTTACATAGTTCTTGATATATCATCTTTCACACTTTGCTTCAAGTGGGTTATGAACTGCCATTTTTAGCCCATATACAGATTGCAGAATCACATCAGTTACACATCCATTGATTTACATATTGCCATACTAGTGTCTGTTGTGTTCTGCTGCCTTTCCTATACTCTACTATCCCCCCTCCCCTCCCCTCCCCTGCCCTCTTCTCTCTCTACCCCCTCTACTGGCATTCATTTGTCCCCCTTGTATTATTTTTCCCTTTCCCCTCATTTCCTCTTGTATGTAATTCTGTATAACTCTGAGGGTCTCCTTCCATTTCCATGCAATTTCCCTTTTCTCTCCCTTTCCCTCCCACCTCTCATCTCTGTTTAATGTTAATCTTCTTCTCATGCTCTTTGTCCCTACTCTGTTCTTAGTTACTCTCCTTATATCAAAGAAGACATTTGGCATTTGTTTTTTAGGGATTGGCTAGCTTCACTTAGCATAATCTGCTCTAATGCCATCCATTTCCCTGTAAATTCTATGATTTTGTCATTTTTTAATGCAGAGTAATACTCCATTGTGTATAAATGCCACATTTTTTTTATCCATTCGTCTATTGAAGGGCATCTAGGTTGGTTCCACAGTCTTGCTATTGTGAATTGTGCTGCTATGAACATCGATGTAGCAGTGTCCCTGTAGCATGCTCTTTTTAGGTCTTTAGGGAATAGACCAAGAAGGGGAATAGCTGGGTCAAATGGTGGCTCCATTCCCAGCTTTCCAAGAAATCTCCATACTGCTTTCCAAATTGGCTGCACCAATTTGCAGTCCCACCAGCAATGTACAAGTGTACCCTTTTCCCCCACATCCTCACCAGCACTTGTTGTTGTTTGACTTCCTAATGGCTGCCAATCTTACTGGAGTGAGATGGTATCTTAGGGTGGTTTTGATTTGCATTTCTCTGACAGCTAGAGATGGTGAGCATTTTTTCATGTACTTGTTGATTGACTGTATGTCCTCCTCTGAGAAGTGTCTGTTCAGGTCCTTGGCCCATTTGTTGATTGGGTTGTTTGTTCTCTTATTGTCTAATTTTTGGAGTTCTTTGTATACTCTGGATATTAGGGCTCTATCTGAAGTGTGAGGAGTAAAGATTTGTACCCAAGATGTAGGCTCTCTATTTACCTCTCTTATTGTTTCTTTTGCTGAGAAAAAACTTTTTAGTTTGAGTAAGTCCCATTTGTTGATTCTAGTTATTAACTTTTGTGCTATGGGTGTCCTATTGAGGAATTTGGAGCCCGACCCCACAGTATGTAGATCGTAGCCAACTTTTTCTTCTATCAGACGGCGTGTCTCTGATTTGATATCAAGCTCCTTGATCCATTTTGAATTCACTTTTGTGCATGGCGAGAGAAAGGGATTCAGTTTCATTTTGTTGCATATGGATTTCCAGTTTTCCCAGCACCATTTGTTGAAGATGCTATCCTTCCTCCATTGCATGCTTTTAGCCCCTTTATCAAATATAAGGTAGTTGTAGTTTTGTGGATTGGTTTCTGTGTCCTCTACTCTGTACCAAGACTAGGTTTTCTTTTGGATCTGCATTGGCATGTTTTTCAGCTACAAAGAGCAGAGGGAAAGGCGTGAAAACAAGGGTGACTGGCATTTCTAGAGCAACACTGCCATCAAATGGAAGCTTTTAGCATGTTGCTTCCACCTCCTCCTCAAGTGTTCAGTGGGGAAAGCCTCTAATATAAGCAAAGGTAGATTGGGGCATTCAGAGAATTCTGGGACAGGCTCTTGCTTCTACACCACTTACCTCAGAGTCAGTATAGAAGCCACAGAGGTAGGCCTGCTCCCCAAGGACTGTGGGGTGACCAAGGCCTATCAGGCTCAGGAAGTGATAAAGGCCAGGCCTTGGTGGCTGCCATGTTTAACAACCATGAGACAAAACTACTTCAGGGCATTTGACTCCTTGATCCCTGGGCTTACAGCAGGAGCAAGGTTAACCAGTGTTAGCCCTGTCCTAGGGTTATCAGAGCAGCAGGGAACCTGCAGTCCAACATCCAGACAAGGAAAAGAAAAGCAGGGGTGGCCACCCTGTCAGGGGTAGCCTATTGTGGAGAAAATAAAAACTTCCTGATTATTGAGTACTAGTTTGAGACAAAGAAGAAGAAGGCAGGGCTGGGGATGTGGCTCAAGTGGTAGCGCGCTCGCCTGGCATGTGTGCGGCCCAGGTTCCATCCTCAGCACCACATATAAATAAAGATGTTGTGTCTGCAGAAAACTAAAAAATAAATAAATATTAAAAAATTCTCTCTCTCTCTCTCTAAAAAAAAAAAAAAGAAGAAGAATAAGGCAGATGCATTACAATTCAAGTTTTGTCTGCTTGTTCTTATTCCCTTCAAAGAAAGTCTGGGTCAGACTCCAAGGGATGCCATTCTGCACCTCTGCCACAGAGGAGAAAGGGCTCCCTACCAAGTCACCCTAAGAATGAACCTAAACATATCCAAGCACAGCTTTATCTGTACCACTGGAGGTTGGGTGAGACCATAGTACCAACTTCAAGAAAAGATGAGTCTCCAAGAATGAGCCCAAGTAGCTAACTGGGCCTAATGTTCAAAATGGAGCCTGGTAGCCATTTGTTGACTGTGGAGTCACATAGTACTTTGTATTTCTACAAGGACCATTAGCTAAACATGTGGCCTTTGCCTGGCCATGTTCCCATACCACTTGCAAAGATAAATAGCCTCTGGACCTGACCAATGAACTATATCTGCATTTATAGTAATATGTAAATGTTAACCAATCAGGAATGGGTTTAGTTACTTACCTATTTACATAAAAACAAACCAATCAGGATTTAGCACAATTTCATCCTTTGTGTGCATAAGCCAACTAGAGTAAGTACCTGGTTATTATATAGGTGGAACTTCATCTATATAAGCTAGCCACTTTGCTTTATTATCTAAGGCTGCCTCTCCCCATTTACAAACTGTTTTCTGTTAAAAAAATAAAATAAAATGTCTCTTTTTATTTTTTATCTTAAGCATTTTCCCTAGTGAGTTTTTGTTGATAGTAAGTTCAGTAACTTGATGCTGGGTACAAAGTTAGAACCAAGCTACCAACTGTCTCCCAAGGAACCTTCTGAATTGGGCATTCTCAAGGCCTGCTTGACTATGAGGTCTCAGGCTGTCAGAAACAAAGGGCAGAGTGCCAGAGATATCAGGAATGGTGTAAAAGCAGATGAGAAACTGCCATTCCAAGAAAATGGGAGCACATGGCTCCTCTCCCATTGCTGTCTCCTGGTTTTCAAATACTATTGGTCCCACACTTAAGACCAGTCAGAAGAGAAGCCAGGGGGCACACTAGAGTCATGGGTCCTTGCGTCTGACCCAGGTTCAATCAGTCATCTTCCATCAGAAGGCCTATAGTAGAAAACATGTAAGATGTATTGTGCTTCTGAGGACTCTATTGTTTTAAAATGAAGGGATACATCAAAACATTACACTTCTCGGCCAGGTGTGGTGGTGCACACCTGTAATCCCAGTGGCTTGGGAGGCTGAGACAGGAGAATCACAAGTTCAAAGCCAGCCTCAGCAATAGCGAGGTACTAAGCAACTCAGTAAGACCCTGTCTCTAAATAAATACAAAATTGGGCTGGGGATGAGGTTCAAGGGCCGTGTGTCCCTGAGTTCAGTCCCCAGTACTTCCCCCCACCACAAAAATAAATAAATAAATAAATAAATAAATAAAACACTACACTTCTCTAAGTTCCCTGGTACATCAGAGATAGATTAAGGGCCATGGAAGAGATTGGCCTTAGGCTGTACAAGTGAGTGAATATTCCCCTCTTCAGTAAAGCATACTTGTAAAAATCTAGCAAGAGCAAGCTCCCTATCCTAACTGATCTGGTGGAGGGCCACAGTACAGAGAGCTGTATCAAACAGAGATCACAATATGATAGATGGCATAGGCATAGTGGGAAGGGAGCTACAGTCAATGTCAGAAAGGCAAAGGCCCAAAAGATCTGGCTCTCCTCCTGGGATACCTGTTCTTTGTTTCTTGGGCATGCGGGGCCGAGTCTTCTCTTTCCCAGGTTCGTGTAGGGAGCTCAAGTGTTCTTTCAGTAGTACATGGCCCCACTGGACCTTTTCCTCTCCCCACTACACTACAGAACACGTCTTAAGTTTCAGGGACTGATTCCAATCCCTTTAGGTGGACACGCATTCCCTGGATAATCATCCATGTGTCTCCTACTTTGGGTCTCACCACAGGGACCTCACTCAAGGGTCTTTTTAAATTAATCATGGCTGAAAATTCTGGAAGACAATACTATTGCCCCTATGCCAGAAATCTACCTACCCTGGCAGTGTCTCCTTGCCAAGGAGCACTGACATACCATAATAATTACAGTTTTTGTAGGATAAAATTGACAATTTTTTAAAGCAGAAGGAAGAGAACAAAGATAACTCACCATAATACCAGCACCCAGCGATGATCCAGGATCACAGTGGCCCTTTCTCTCTGTGTGCTATTCAACCTGCAACAAGACACTAGAATGTCCTTCACTTCATTTGGGACCACTAAAGTGATGATCAAAAGGTGGCATGGTACATCCCATCCAGCCAACCTAGAGAGTGTTTTCAGGCTACCATGTTGGTTTTGGGGTCAATTGTGATTTCTGAGGAAAGCATAGCAAGAAATCAAATCTATTCAACTTTGGGAATTTGTATGGATGCAACTTGGGGTTGTTTTTAAAAAAGATGCAGCACAAATAAAATAGTACTTTGTAGAGCCAGATGATACACTGTCCTATGATCTCATTTCTGTTGAGAACCAAAGCCATCTCCTTGGGTATATCCTTAGAGAGCTTCACTCCTCATCTCTGTATTTATTTGATTACAGTTGACTAGCTATAAGAATATTATCACAAGCCTGTTTCCTCCACCACCCTAAAATGGAGAACCAGCCCTCTGACTGACCAGCAACTCATCTGGCTCATGTGTAGATGAAGGAAACCAGATACCTCCATTCTGGGTGCACAGAGATCTGCTGTACTGACTTTTTTTTTTTAAAGAGAGAATTTAAATATTTATTTATTTGTTTTTAGTTTTCGGCGGGCACAACATCTTTGTTTGTATGTGGTGCTGAGGATCGAACCCCGGCCGCACGCATGCCAGGCGAGCGCGCTACCGCTTGAGCCGCATCCCCAGCCCCTGACGTTCTATGTAAGGGTGAACATGCAAGGATTGGCTATGTCTCATTCTGCCAGGCCACTCATTTCTAGTTGGACAAGGACACTATGCCCATTGCACACACACTTTGTACACAACCTCATAACTAGTTGTATTTCTAAAAAAAAAAAAAAAAAAGAGGAGGGAAAGTTGCATGTGATGGTGCACACTTGTAATTCCAGCAACTCAACAGGTTGAGGCAGGAGGATCACAAGTTCAAAGGCAGCCTCAGCAAGCTAGTGAGACCTTATCTGAACATAAAAAATTAGAGAGAGAAGAAAAAGAGAAATTTAATGTCCAGAGAATTGGGACACCATAAATACACAATATTCCCAACCCCAGGAAAAGACATGGGCACCTTGTGCAGTTGTTGGAGGGGAAATGGAAAGGATCAGTAGGATGCTGCACAGATATGTAACAGCCAGGAGACAATTATTTTATGAAAACACTGAAATATAACATTCTATTTGTGAGCTTTGTGGGATCAAAGAGAAGGGCAAAAGTAGACATACCTCTATATTTGTTTATGGAAAATTATATCTGGTCTCATAATATGCAGGAGGGCTGGGAGACAAAGAGACAACATGAGAACAGTAACACTACAATGTTATGGGCTATCACTTTCATTGGGAGCAATCTCTATCCATAGTGGCATCTCTAAAGTGGTTGTAGGAGAAAAGAAATGAGAATATGCACACACACACACACACACACACACACGAAGGTAAGTGTGTATGTATACATTTGTGTATGCATTCATGTATGAAGGACCAAACACTGGGGTGTGTAAGTGGAGAACACAATAGGTTGCACATAGAGCTTCCTAGAATGGGCAGAAGAGAGGCTTTGAGGGAAAAATGAAGGGAAAGTTCAGGTTTTTTCATCCTACCTCAAGCAACCATTGGACCCAAGATGACCCTATCAAACCCTTGAAATAACTGCAATTGTACCCCGCAAAATGGCTCTTAACATATTTGGATTTAAATCCCCAAGGAGGCTAGGTATGGTGGCATATGCCTGTAATCCCAGAGACAGGAGGATCGCTGGTTCAAAGCCAGCCTCATCAACCACGAGGCACCAAGCAACTCAGTGAGACCCTGTCTCTAAATAAAATACAAAATAGGGCTGGGGATGTGGCTCAGTGGTCAAGTTTCCCTGGGTTCAATCCCTAGTACCCTCCCCAAACCCCCAAGGAGATGATGTAGTGATTTATATACAGATGCACTTATTCCTTCAGAAATTTCTTCATAGACATTTTTGCTTCCCTCAGAGAGTCTGAGAGGAAAGGACACTACCTCTTCCAGTACCCCAACAACTTAAGAGGCAATTCTAGGGCTTGGATGGCTTTTGGGCCTGCCTTTATCTTTTTTTCATCTGCAAAGGGTGGAGTGAGAAGAGCAGAAAGCCAGGGTGGTTGGCATTTTTGAAGCAATAGTGCCATCAAGTGGAAACTTTATGAGCACAGTTTCCAGAACTTTGTTTCCAGAAGAAAAGTTTTCTGATATGAGAAAGGGTAGGTTTGATGTATGCAGGGAATTCTGGGACTGGCCCCAACCAACTCACTGAGTAACTTCAGAGTCACCGTGAAAGCCATGAAGCCACAGTGACCCACCAAAGAGTTCTCAGCAGTTGGGCTTGCCAGGCTCTGGAGGAGGTGGGGTGACAGGTCTAGGTGGCTGCCATGTTTGGCAATGAGAAACAAGGCTACTACAGGGCATTTGGCTCCTTGATCCCTGTCCTTGGTATAAAATAGAAGTCAGCCAGCAGGGCTGTGCTCTGGAGTCTCAGTATCTTGGGAAACCTGGGACTCAATTTTGCATCTAATAGAAGCAGGTCTAGCCAAGTAAAGGGGAAGCAAGAATGTCCACCTCATCAGGGGCATCCTCTTATAGAAAAGATGGAAACTATTGTTATGATTATAGAGTATAAGACTTAAAAAAACAAGAGTAGAGCAGGTGTATTACAGTTCAAGTTTCCTCTGCTTTAATCTAATTCAGGTCAAAGACAATCTGGGTTACACATCTTAATCATTCCACACATCTTTTCAAATATGGCAGGGGGTGGCAACAATACCAACTAGGGACACATAATTCCAAAGGCACATCATTTTCTGGAATCTGGGGACCCAAATCTGTTTTGTGCATGTGGTTATGGCTACTGAGTGTGTGACCCAGTTCTTCTCCTTAGGAAAGGCACCTGGTTCACATACTCAGGGTGGGGGCAAGGGGCAGAGTTTATGATCTTTGAGTATGGCTATCCCACAGTGCAGCTCTAGATCAAAGAATGCACATAGAGGGGCTGGGGCTGTAGCTCAGTGGTAGAGCACTTGCCTCTCACTTGTGAGGTACTGGGTTCAATCCTCAGCACCATATAAAATAAATAAATAAAGATATTTTAAAAAAAGGAATGTACATAGAGACCACCATACTCACAACTTTGGGCTGGGACCTATAGATCTAAACTCTGCCCTGGGGCTTGTCAAATAAGGTTGGTCTGGCTCAGAAGGCTCTATACATTAAGATCGCTTGGCAACATTCTGAAAAGACAAGAGTATGAAATGAAGAAGAGGGGACAGAGAGCACTTTTCAGCCTGTCTGAGAGAAAAGGAGAAAAGGAATACAGGGCTGGGCCTTTAGACTTGCCTTGGGAAAGCACCAACCAGGGAACACATCCTCAGTTAGGTAGGAGCTAACAAAGCACATATCTATACCAGATGTTCTCCAGAAATAGAAATCAGGCATCCATAAGGAAGGGCTGTGTGCTCAGGAGTATGAATCTTGTTCCTACCCTTGGCAGACATGCCAGAATTATGGTAGATCTTGGAGAGATGGGTTAGGAAGATGGGAAGGAAAAGGGCTGGATGAATAGGGACGAACAGGGAAATACGACATACATAAGAAGGTAAGTAAGTGTGTGTATATACACATATGTGTGCATTCATCTGTGAGAGGATGAGTGAGTGTTTCAGTAGAGAATACAACCACTGTTCTAAATAGAGCTGCAAAAGCAAAGGCCCTTGCTAAGGTTACCTGCTTCTCTGAGGCCACTGGGCCCTCTTCTTGACCCAAGAACCCCGAACATGGGGCAATTAATGGATAGCGAACTGCTGAGATCCCTTAGAGGTGAGCCAGGACATCAATCTCTCTGTCTTCTCACTTGATTTGCCTCCAATTAGGGTCTTGCTTCTCTCTACTCCTTTTAAGTGCTGCTGCTCTTCAGTCCTTAAGCAGGATGAGGCCACTGGTTAGGAATTGGTTAGATGAGGACAGAAGAAAAACAACAGCACAGCAATAAAAGGGAAAATCCAGGGACTCATCCCACCTTGAAGCATTAAGTCTATTTTCCCCATGAAAGCACTAGGAGTTTATGCACAGTCACCTGATCCATATAATATCAATAGGTGAGCCGAGAAAACTGGGATGCTACGAACAAGACATTTGGATTGACATAAGGAGATGATATAGCAATGGTTTTCCAGGTACATCTATTTGTTTTGGTGTTTTGCCTTAGATATCAACATTCCCTATGGAAAGCCTGAAAAGGACACCATTTTGTAAGTATCTCACCTTAGTATTCCCAGATTTAGTGCCTAGATGGCGTTAGAGTCTGTAAACAAGTCAAAATAACACCTGGCATTTAGCCAGGGGAATGTTAGAGTTCGTAAACAAGTCTGGATGGTGCCTGGCAAAATGCCAGAGGGAGTGGTTTGAGAAGTAACAAAAGCGAGCCATTAAGTGTGGAGATTCCTTATTGGTTGACTGATGTATCTAGTTTATGCTAATTAGATAAGCTGTGTGGAATGTATAAATACTGCTCCTGTCCTGCAATAAACGGCTTCCACTCCTCCTGTATCAACGTACACAAGTTGTTCATCACCCCCCTGGTTATTTTGCTGCAGCCGGACTGCGGCAGATGGCTTTTTGGCCTGCATTCAAATTTTTGTCCACAAAGGATGGAGAGAGGGTCCTCAGGGCAAGGGTAGTTGGCATTTTTGAAGCAACAGTGTCATCAAATGGAAGGGTTTTGAACACGGCTTCTAGCCTCTCTGTGTATTAGGTGTGGAAGGCCTCTGATATGAGGAAAGGTAGGTTTCTAGCACTCAGAATTTGGGGACTGGCCTTAACCACTCCACCAGGATCCTCCACTGTCACTGTTGAAGCCAAGTGGCTAGACTTTCTCACTGAGGAATCCTGTATGTTCAGGCCTAACAGGCTCAGGAGGAGGCAGGTGGGAGTGTGGAGACTGGAAGAGTTTGCGGAGTGTGGCAATGTTGCCAGAAATGGTGGCTGCCAAGTATGGCAAAGGGAGCTGAACTACTGAAGGGCAGTTGGTTCCATGATCCTTGCCCTTGGTACAGAAGCAAGGTTGGCTAGTGGGGGTCCTGCATGTGGGGTTTAGGACCACAAGCAACCCAGGACTCCATGTCACATCTGGAGGACCCAGGCCCAGCTAAGTAAAGGGGCAACAGGTTGTTACCCTGTTAGGGGCAGATTCTTACAGAGAAGATAGAAAGATGTCTTAATTGCTGGATACTAGATCAAGGCAAGGAAAAGTAAGGCAGGTACATTATGGTTCAACTTCTGTCAGCTTTACTCTTACATCAAAGAAAGTCTGGGTTATAGGCCTCAAGAGATGATCCTCTTCACATCTTCTCACATAGGATAAAGGGTACTGGAGATACCCATTTAGTATTGGTAAGCCCAGAGAAACATCATTCTCTGGAGTTGGAGAATCAGGTCTATTCTGGATGTATGCTTGTGATTTGAAATAGTCCAATAATGCCCTATTTCCCAATCTCTCAACATTGGATATAGTTCTTCTTCCCCCACCCACCCCCAGATGCCCCAGCCAGTGCGCCTGACCGGTGGGGGCGCCTCCGTGGCTTCCCCTCCTGGCCTGGCACCGGCTGCTTGGGGGAGTCCTCGGGGAAAGGCTGGGCTGCTGGGCTTCCCGAAGCCCAGGTTGCGGCCAAGGCCTCTCCGCCTGCCCTCAGGCTTTACCATTGTGCCTGCGACAGTGGCAGGGAGCACTCCCTGGCCGCTTCCACCTCGGCTCGAGGACGGGCACCGACACGGACACCCACAGGAGCCAGCATTTGCTGGAACTTTGTTGCCCTGGGGCCCATTTCCACACCGAGGGCTTGGTCTCTCCCTACCCCACCTCCAATCGGCCAAACGGATGTCCCTTAGGAGGGCACCCGGGTACCACCCCGCGGAGGGGCAGGCACTCACACATGCTCACAGGCACACAGGGACACGCACGAGCGCCCGCACAGAGACGCCGCCACCTCCCGGCCCGCCTCCTTTCAGTGGGTCCTCCTCGCCAACTCCCACCGGCCCCACCACCTGGACCCCCAGAGGCCTCCTGTTTGAACGCCACGACGGCTGAGCTGGACAGCCCAGGCAGAAGCCGATGGCTCTGTCTTCTTACCACCACCGCCACTAACACCCACCGCCACCCCAGCCGCAGCAGCTACTGAGGATGTCTACTGGACATTGACAGCCCACTTCTTGGGCCTGGACCACAGTGAAGCCTGGGAGGGCCACCACCCAGTTTGAACAGACAGGACAGGCTCCCCAACCACAGTGGCCTGGGGGAAGTATACTGTACTGTTTAAAAAAAGACCCAAAATATGTTGTGTTCAAGAGACTCATCTCCTAGGAAAAGACATCCACAGACTGAGGGTGAAAGGTTGGGAAAAAACTAGCATTCACATGGACTGTGTAAACAAGCAGGGTTTTCTACCCTCATATTAGATAAAGTGGAAAGGTGAAAGTTTGGGGAAAAAACATATCACTCACATGGAGTGTATAAACAAGCAAGGGTTTCTATCTGCATATCAGATAAAGTGTACTTTAAGCTAAAGTTAGTCAGAAAGAATAAAGAAGGACATTTCCACTGCTTAAGGGAATCATACATCAACAAGACATAACAATCATAAATGTCTATGCCCCAAACAATGGAGCATTTACATATATCAAACAAACCCTTCTGGATTTCAAGAATCAAATAGACCACAAGACAATACTACTGGGTGACTTTAACACACTTCTATCACCACTGAGTACATCTTCCAAACAAAAACTAAACAAAGAAACTACAGAACTATATAATACAATCAACAATTTAGACTTAACAGACATATATAGAATATTTCATCCTTCAATGATCGAATACACTTTGTTTTCAGCAGCACATGGATCCTACTCTAAAACAGACTATATCTTATTCCACAAAGCAACTCGTAGCAAATACAAAAGAAAAGAAAGAACTACTACTATGCTGCATTCTATCAGATTATAATGGAATGAAACTAGAAATCAACGATAAAATAAAAAATAGAAGCTACCCCAACACCTGGGGACTAAATAACATGCCTTTGAATGACAAATGGATAGCAGAAGCAATAAGGGAGGAATTAAAAAAACACTTTGAGAACACCAATACAACATATCAAAATCTCTGGGACATTATGAAAGCAGTGCTAAGAGCAAAGTTCATTGCATTGAGCTCATTCATTAAAAGAGTAAAAAGTCATTAATAAATGACCAAACATTACATCTCAATACCTTAGAAAGAGAAGAACAAATCAACACCAAAAGCAGTAGAAGACTGGAAATAATTAAAATCAAGATGGAATCAATGAAATTGAAACAAAAGAAACAATTCAAAAAGTTGACAAAATGAAAGATGGTTATTCGAATAAATAAATAAAATTGATAAACCCTTAGCTACACTAACAAAGAAGGAGAGAAAAATCAAATTACTAAAATATGTGATGAATAAGGAAATGTTACGAAGGATACTACTGAATTACAGAAGATAATCAGAAGCTATTTTGTAAATTTATACCCCAATAAAACAGAAAATCTCCAAAGACATTGACAAATATCTAGAGACATATGATTTACCCACACTGAATCAAGGAACAGGATGTGGTGGTACATGCCTGTAATCCCAGAGGCTTGGGAGGCTGAGACAGGAAGATCAGGAGTTCAAAGCCAACCTCAGCAACAGGGAGGTGCTAAGCAACTCAGTGACACCCCATCTCTAAATAAAGATACAAATTGGGCTGAGGATGTGGCTCAGTGGCCAAGTGCCCCTGAATTCAATCCCTGGTACCCTCCCGCCCTCCCCCCCCCCCCAAAAAAAAAAAAATAGGGCTGGATTCCATACACAATTTAAACAATTTCAAGAAATGAAATAGAAGATGCCATCAAAAGCCTACCAATTAAGAAAAGCCCAGGACCAGACAGATTCTGAGTCAAGTTCTACTAAGACCTTCAAGGAAGAATTAACACCAATATTCTGCAAATTATCCCATAAAATAGAAAAGGAGGGAACCCTTCCAAACTCATTCTATGAAGGCTAGTATCACCCTGATACCAAAACTAAACAAAGACATCAAGGAAAGAAAACTTCAGATCAATATCCCTGATGAACATAGATGCAGAAATACTCAATTCTGGCAATTTGCATACAAAAACAAATTTAGAAGATAGTGCACCATGATCAAGTGGGGTCCATCCCAGGTATTCTAATCAGCTTTTCTGCTGTTGTGACTAAAGGATCTGATCAGAACAACTATAGAGGAGGAAAAGTTCATTCGAGGGCTCACAGTTTCAGAGGTCTGAGTCCATAGAAGGGTGGCTCCAGAACATCATGGCAGAGTGTGTGGCAGAGGAAAGCAGCTCACATCATGGTGATCAAGAAGCAGAGAGAGAAACTCCACTCTCCAGATACAAATACATACAAAAAAGGCATGTCTAATTCCAACTTCCTCCAGCCACACATTTCCACTTCAGTTACCACTCAGTTAATCTCTGATTGGGTTAACACTCTTATAATCCAATAATTTCTTTCTTTCTTTTTTTGGTACCCTAGGTATTGAACTCAGGGGCATTTAACCTCTGATCCAAATCCCCAGCCCAAATAATTAAAGAAAATAAAACCATGCTCAGTGCCTCATACCTGTAATCCCAGCAGCTCTGGAGGCTGAGGCAGGAGGATCGAGAGTTCAAAGCTTGTGTCGGCAAAGTTGAGGCACTAAGCAACTCACTGAGACCCTGTTTCTCTCCAAACAAACAAACAAACAAACCACAAAATACAGCTGGGGATGAAATTTAGAGGTCTAGTGCCTCTGAGTTCAATTCCTGATACCCCCTCTTACTCCCCCCCACCCCCCAAAAAATCAGGTCTCAAGCCCCGGCCTCTGCCTCCTCCTGCCAGGTCCTTGGCCTCAGAGCAGCCCCACAACAGCGGAGGTGGTGGGCGTGGTCAGGCAGGGTCCCCTCCATTCTTTTTGTCCCCAAGGAGGAGGAATCCCAATCGGGGTGATTGCTCGCCCTCACTGGCTTCCTCCTAGGTCCCTGTGCTATGGGGAAGTCTGAGCTGATCCAGAAGACCAAGATGGCCAAAAAGTTCGAGCGTGAGATTACTTGACTGAGCTAGGAAACAACATGTCCAAGCAAGAGGACAAACTGCTCTCTGTGGCCTGGAAGACTGTGGTCAGGAGCCACAGTCCCACAAGTTGCAGCTGATTAGGGACTAACCTGTATCACTCTGGATTTTTTTTTTTTTTTTTTAACCAGGGATTCCCCCCTTCCGCTCCAATGTGAAAGCTCTTGTCGTTCAATGGATTCTTCCAAATGGAGCCGTTTTTTTATAGGTCATTCATTAAAGGAAATTGTTCCTGGGAGCTCACACCTAGGTTCTTCAGACCGCCATTTAACTGCTCAGATCAAACTGACCTAGCTCACTGTGGGTCGGGAGAATCCCGGTGGGGCGAAACGATCTGCAATCTGAGATCAGAGATCAGCGGGGCAGCATCTCTTCCCTCTCACTCTTTGGCCGCCAGCTACAAGGAAACCATTACAGGCTCACAGACGGGGAGGGCCAGAGGAATTCTCCTTGGCGCCTCACTCTACACTTGTCAGGAAAATTAGGTAGCAGTAAAAACTAGGCGCCCCCAAACACAAGACCCGGGAGGGTCCTCATGATCCTGCTTAGGCCACGGAGTCTTCCAATGCACGGGAGACCACCTTACTGTGGACCCGCAGACACACTGCTCAAGGTCACACGAGCACAGGCAGATAAAAGTGGAATTCAGTGTGATCTATTCATACAAGCACACAACATAACATGGTCAATAGCATTCAGCAGTTCTTTCGCTTTTCCATGGTTCTACCCTCTCCCCGAGACCCCCTTCCTCTACTCCACTGTAGGGAATGGGAAAGTTCCATTCAAGAAAGGCTGCTGGGATCCGGTCCCCCGGCTGGACTTCTCCCTTATCAGGGAAAGGATAGGAGAAAAAAAAAAAAAAGGCACAGGAGACTTACCTGGGTGAAGCCTCCTGTCAGCGGGAAAGGCCTGACAGCTCAGATCTCACGCTGGGTCCAATTGGACCCCACTGTGTCTTTTGTGGTAAACGATGACCCCAAGGACGTTTCCATTTCCCCGGAGGGCCAGGGGGTTATAGTCAATCTGGAAAGACAGGAGTTGATAATCGGATGCTTCGGAGTCATTTGAGATCAATATGCTCTCATAATTAAAGATTTTCTTTTTTCATGATTAGAACTGGTAGCCAGTATATGATGTTAAAATAAATGAACTGGAAAGAGATTCAGAATCATGAAAACATTAAAAAAACTATATTGAACAAGGCTTAAAGGTAATTAAAACAGAACTATTGTATAAGATAGAATTTCTACATAGATTTTATGCTATGGCAGAGGAAAACAACTGATTAAAATGCCATTCATTTTGTTTTTGTCTGTGATACTCAAGGATGCTTCTTTTCTCCTTGGGGTATTGAAATTGAGCTGGTAAAAAAAGCCAGTTGAACATTGTTTTAATTTCTTTCTATAACATTTTTCATTTGATTTTTTGGACACTGGAATTATAAGTTTTAATTGTCTTCTAAAAATTGAGGTTCAACAACATCTAGGGTCAACTGAACAAGATAGTTCAATTTCACACAGACTTTTTTGCACACAAATTTTTAAAAAATATTTTTGTTAGTGTTATAGTTATAAATAACAGTGGGGTTCATCTTGACATATTCCTAAATGCATAATATAATTTCCTCCACTTCAATCGATGAGGACATAGTACAAAATGAAATCTGAAATGAAGCAGATACAGGATCCGCCCCCGCCCTGCCAGGCCTGGCCATGCTGAGGATGGAACCTAGGGTATTGTGCATGCTAGGCAAGAGCTCTCCACCACTCAGCTCCATCCCCAGCCCGGGATCAATTTTTTTTTCCTACTGCAAGACCTATGCTAATTCTATGTTCACTACTAGGAACCTTTGAATACCCTAGATATCTAACCGATTTTTATTTATTTATTTGGCGGGAGATGTGACGTGAAAATGTGAACGCTCTTGTCGTTCAATGCATTCTTCCAAATGGAGCCGTTTTTTTTTTTTTTTTTTTTTTTTTTTTTTTTTTTTTTTTTTTTTTTTAATAGGTCATTCATTAAAGGAAATGTTCCTGGGAGCTCACACCTAGGTTCTTCAGACCGCGGTTTAACTGCTCAGCTCAAACCGACCTAGCTCACTGTGGGTGGGAAGAACCCCGGTGGGGCGAAACGATCTGCGATCTGAGGTCAGAGATCAGCGGGGCAGCATCTCTTCCCTCTTGCTCTTCGCCCACCAGCTACCGGCCCACAGACGGGGAAGGCCAGAGGAATTCTCCTTGGCACCTCTCTCTACACTTGTCAGGAAAACTAGGTAGCGGTAAAAACTAGGGGCACCCAAACACAAGACCCGGGAGGGTCCACGTGGCCCTGCCTAGGCCACCGAGTCTTCTGATGCACGGGAGACGACCTTACTGTGGACCTGCAGTTAAAAAAAAAAAAAAAAAAAAAAAGGCACAGGAGACTTACTTGGGGGAGGCCTCGCGTCAGTGGGAAAGGCCTGACAGCTCGGATCTCGGCGCTGGATCCAGTTGGACCCCACTGTGTCCTTTGTGGTAAACGATGCCGCATGACCCCAATGAAGCATGGATTTTCCCGGAGGGCCAGGGGGCTTTAGGCTAGCTGGAAGGAGAGGCGCTGGGAATTCGGGTTTCAGATGTTGGCCCCGCCTAGGGGCGGAGTGGAACATCATAAGATACTTCCGGATGCGGATGCCTGAAGAGAGAGGAGAGGGGCGCCTGGGAAAGTCAGGTGGGAACTATGTCTTAGTTGCTATTTGCTCAGGAGAACCTATTTGTCTCCTTTGAGTAAGGCGCTTGTTGGGAAGAGGGCAAAGGATGACTAACGGCTGGGGTTGTGTCTCCGTGGTAAAACGCACAAGCGTAAGGTACTGGGTTGGATCCCCAGCATCATGTTAAAACCAACCACGAAAACAACAACAAAAACCACCTAAATAAACAAAATAAAGGTATTGTGTCCAGTGCAACTAAAAACATTAAAAAAATGACCAAAGGAACAACAAAACTGAAGATTTACCATTCAACATCCACAAAAGTATTTGGAGCTTTCACATTTTCACTTCACATCGCCCCCCAAATAAATAAATAAATAAATAAATAGATATCTAGGGTATTCAAATGTTAGTTGTAGTGAAGATAGAATTAGCATAGGTCTTGCAATAGGAAAAAAAAAATTGATCCCGGGCTGGGGATGAAGCTGATTGGTGGAGAGCTTTTGCCTAGCATGCACAATACCCTAGGTTCCATCCTTAGCATGGTGAGGGATCCTGTATCTGCTTCATTTCAGATTTCATTTTGTACTATGTCCTCATCGATTGAAGTGGAGGAAATTATATTATGCATTTAGGAATATGTCAAGATGAACCCCTCTATTATGTATATACTACAACACTAACAAAAATATTTTAAAAGGATATTTGGAGGAAAAAATGTTGAAATAAATAACTTTTCACTGGGATTGGTGCAAATCTGTAATCCCAGCAACTCGGTAGCCTGAGGCAGAAGGATCTGAAGTTTGAGAAGAGCCTCATCAATTAGTGAGATCCTGTCTCAATAAAGGGGGGTTTGAGGTTTGCTGGCTATGTAGTTCAGTGTTAGGGTTCAATCCCTAGTACCACAAAAAGTACCCTTTCAAATTCTAAGTTCATGATTCATTTTCCTAAGGTCATTAAAGCTCTAATTGGTCCCTCCTTGACTGTGAAGCTAGTTCCCAAAACTAGGCACTCCCAGCAGTTATCACTCCCTGCTCTTTATGGGACCTGCACCTTTTTTGAGGCCTTCCAGGGCTGCTGCAGGTGGTGTGAAACCACCTGACCAATTTGTCTATCTTCCTTTATTTTGAAAAAGGAATAACTCCTCTTCCACCTATAAGTTTATATAAGAAAATGGAAGATAGCCTACTATGACCCCCACACTGAGAAGAGGATTGTTGAATTGAGGCCTGTATCCTTCCAGTACTTTGATCTCTAAGAAAAGTATGTGTGGTGGAGGGAGGGAGAGAAATGCAAATAAAGATTCCATTTTTTTCCCACAGTAGAACAGTTAATTTTATTTGTTCAAGAGCTCTTATTGCAAGTACTAAAACGAGCCTGGGCTTTGATCCTGTAACCCATATCGCATATTAAAGAAGCAGCAAACTGACCCATGTACATGGATGCAGACTAAAGGCTCAGGTTTTCAATTTCTATAGCCTGGAGCTCGGTAGTCACAGGTCTTTTAGGTCCTTCTGGATGTCCCACAGGGTATTTGCACTTTTCTTGAGGTAAGCAACCTCATCATCCTTCAGCTTCTGGTTGATAACACTGGTTAATCCCCCAGCATTGAGGACACATGGAAGGCTCAGGAAGACTTCATTCTCAATGCCATACATGCCCTTTACCATGGTTGATACTGGGTGAATTCTGGATAGATTTTTAAACATGGATTCAATAAGGTCAGCCACACTTAAGCCAATAGCCCAGTTGGTGTATCCTTTTTTCTTGATGACTTCATAGGCACTTTCAACCACCATCTTATGCACTTCCTTCCAGTTTTCACTATCATTGTCTGTTCCCATTTCTGGATTTAGTTCCTGGAGAGAGAAACACCAGCCACATTCACTCCACCTCACACAGCCACACTTGAGTTGCCATGTTCTCCCAGAATCCATCCGTGGCAGCTGCTGGGATGAATGCCAAGTTTCTCAGCCATAAGATAGCGAAATCCAGCAGAATCCAGATTACACCCACTTCCAATCACACGTTGCTTGGGTAATCCACTTAGTTTCCAGGTAACATATGTAAGAATGTCCACTGGGTTGGAAACCACAATTATGATGCAATCGGGACTATACTTGACAATTTGAGGAATAATGAATTTGAAGACATTGACATTTCTCTGCACCAGATTGAGATCACTCTCCCCCTCCTGCTGACGGACTCCTGCAGTTACTACCACGATCTTAGAATTGACAGTCACAGAGTAATCTTTATCTGCCATAATTTTAGGTGTTTGAAGAAACAAGCTTCCATACTGCCGATCCATCATTTCTCATTTGAGCTTATCTTCCAAAACATCCACCAGGGGAAGTTCATCAGCCAGAGACTTTCCCAGAATGCTGATAGCACACGCCATACCAACTTGACCAACACCCAGTACAGTGATCTTATTGTTTGGGACTGTCACCTCTTCTTCTGCAACTGGTGCAATGAGTTTTTCCTTGAGGGTTGCCATTTCAAACAGGCGATAGAAGGCTCTGAGACTGCAGGAAGTGTCTTGCGAAGACAATGTCAGCTGCGTGTCTCCTCAGGTGCTGGATCTCAAAGATTCCATTTATTTATTTATTTATTTATTTATTTATTGTTAAACATCAGAAATTTATTGGTTGCTCAAAACATTACATTGATCTTGACATATCATATATCATACATTTGTTTCAAATGGGGTATGAATTCTTATTATTCCCCCGTGTACAGATTGCAGGATCATGTTGATTATACAGCCACGTTTACACATACTGCCAAACAAGTGTCTGTTGTATTCTGCTGCCCTTCCTATCCCCTTCCTAACCCCCTCCCCTCCCCTCCCCTCCCGTCCCTCTACCCCATCTACCATAACTCATTTCTCCACTCTCTCTTATTTTTTTTCCTCCCCTTTGCCTCACATCCTCTTATATGTATTTTTGTATAATAATGCGGGTCTCCTTCCCTCTTCCGTGCAATTCCCCCTCTCTCTCCCATTCCCTCCCACCTCTTGTCCCTATTGATGGTAATCTTCTTCTCATGCTCTTCCTCCTTGCTCTGTTTTGAGTTGCCCCCCTTATATCAAAGAAGACATTCGGCATTTGTTCTTAAGGGATTGGCTGACTTCACTTAGTATAATCTGCTCTAATGCCATCCATTTCCCTGCAAATACCATGATTTTGTTGTTTTTTATTGCTGAGTAATATTCCATTGTGTATAAATGCCACATTTTTTAATCCATTCGTCTATTGAAGGGCATCTAGATTGGTTCCACATTCTAGCTATTGTGAATTGTGCTGCTATGAACATTGATGACGCTGTATCCCTGTAGTATGCTCTTTTTAGGTCTTTTGGGAATAGTCCGAGAAGGGGAATAGCTGGGTCTAATGATGGTTCCATTCCCAGCTTTCCGAGGAATCAAAGATTCCATTTTTTAAACCATAATGTAGAAAGCTCTCTAGGCCCTGTGTAGCCTAGGGCTATTTGGTTACTAAACAATTGACCTCCAAGATATTTTTGTTGATCTTTTTTATTTCTATGAACAAAGTAGTCCTTGATTTTCACTATTTTTTTTAAATTTTATTTTTAGGCTGTACTGGGAATTGAATCCAGGCCTTAGTGCAGGGTAGGCAAGCGCTCTAACATTGAACTAAATCCCCAGCCAATTTCTTCCCTTCCTCTCTCCCTCCCTCCCTTCCTTTGTAAATTTCAAGATACGTGGTCTCTAAGTTGCCCAGGCTGATCTGGAACTTGTGGTCCTCCTGCCTCAGTCTCTTGAGTAGCTAGGATTATAGGACAGCGCCACTCTGCCAGGCTCCCCACTTTATATTTCTTTTTTTTTTTAAAAAAAGAAAAATAATTTCCACAAATGCAGATACCTTACAAGAGAAAATGGAAGTCATGCCTGCTTATGTCCTGTGTAACCATTTTTAAGAAACCCATGGCCTCTGCATCAACCTGCAAGGCAGCACAACTGGACATTGACTGCCAGTAACTCCTCCTTACATCCTGCCTCCAAGCCTCACCCACCCAATTCCCCAGCTGATGACCATCTGAAACCCATACCCCAAGACCACCTGCTAGCTGCTACTTCCAGCCTTAGGCTCAGCTCTAATTTGTAGCCCTTTTTTCTTACCTATTCCCTTGCTGTTTGGGCAAAGGTTGGAGGAAATTGTCAGAGCAAAAGAAGGAGGAAAATGAAGGCCTTGAGATTATTACTCCTGCCAGATAACTTTTTACATTTCAGGTAAATACCAGAAATCTCACGAATCCCAGCTGCTTTCTATTGGTGAGGGGTAGGTTGAGGAAGAGGTTGAAAACTTCACCTTGTAGGAGGTAGGAAGGGAAAGAGCTTCCAATTCCTCCCACAAGGAATTATACTGCAAAGACCTGGGCTGTGAAACTCAGGGCCTCTTTTCTGGAATTTCTCCCTGTCCCCCACCCCCCCTGTCGTCCTGCTTTTTGTAGGCTGTTCCCCTACAAAAAGAACCAAGTCAAAGCCATTTTTCTGTCTGCATTCCCTGAACTGACACAGATTCAGTTAACTGCTCATTGTGCTAGAAAACAGATTCACAGAGGTTAAATGACTTTGCCGAGGTGAATCATAGTGAATTCACCGTGTAGTGCTCCCAGGATGCCAATCTTTTTGCTTTCTCCATGCAAGGAAAAAGTACTCATCATCACTAGTCATTAGAGAAATACAAACCAAAACTATGAACCACTTCACAGCTGCTAGGATAGCTAGAATAAGCTAGAATAGAAAACAAGTGTGGTAAGATAGTGGTGAAATTTTGGAATTCTCATACACTGCTGTGGGAAAAAAAAATGATGTAGGCACTGGGGAAAGCAGTTTGGTGCTTTCATTAAAAGTTAATGAGTTACCACATGATCCCAATCCTAGTTATACAGCCAAGAAAATTGAAAGTGGATATTCAAACAAAAACTTGAATATTTATGGGAGCATTATTCATAAGGCCAAAAACCAGAAACAACACAAATTCCCACCAACAGATGAGTATTTAAACAAAA